GTGGTATAGCTCTACAATGGAATGTCGTTTAGCAATAAAATGAAATTAAGTACTTATACGTGCTACAACATGGATGCACCTTGGAAACGTTACGCTAAGTGAAAGATGCCAGTAACAATCATCAGATAAATGCAAATAAATACTACAATAAGATACCATTTCACACCATTCAGAATGGCTATTAAGAGAAGTCAAAAAGCAACAGATGCTGGTGAGGCTGCAGAGGGAGCACCTACACACCTACACACCTACACACTGCTGGTGGGAATGTAAATTAGTCACTGTGGAAAGAAGTTTGGAGAGTTCTCAAAGAACTTAAAACAGAACTACTATTCAACCCAGCAATCCCATTACTGGGTATATACTCAAAAGAAAATAAATTGTTCTACCAAAAAAACACATGTACTATATGTTCATCGCAGCACCATTCACAATAGTAAAGACATGAAATCAACGTAGGTGCTCAACAGTGGACTGGATAAAGAAAAGGTGGTACATATATACTATGGAATACTATACAGCCATAAAAAGGAATGAAATTATGTCCTTTTCAGCAAAATGGGTTCAGCTGGAGGCCATTATCCTAAATGAATTAATAACAGGAACAGAAAACCAAATACCACATGTTCTCACTTATAAGTGGGAGCTAAACATTGGGTACTTGTGTACATAAAGATGGCAACAATAGACACTGGGGACTGCTTGAGGTGGGAAGGAGGGTGGGGGGCAAGGGTTAGAAAAACTAACTGTTGAGTACTATGCTCACTACCTGGGTGACGGAATCAATCATAAACCAAACTTCAGCATCATGCAATATGCCCATGTAACAAAACTGTGCATGTACCTCCTGAATCTAAAATAAAAGTTGAAATTAATTAAAAAGCCAGTAACAAGAGACCACATGTTTTATGATTCCATTTATATGAAACATCCAGAATAGGCAACTCTATAGAGACAGAAAGCAGATTAGTGGTTACCTAGGGCTACAAGTGGGGATGAGGCATTGGGAGGTGACTGGTAATGGGTACATGGTTTCTGTTTTGGGTAACAAAAATACTCTAGAATTAGTGTTAAATATACTAAACCCTACTGAATTGCACACTTAAAAAGGATGAACGATATGGTATATGAATGATATCCAGGTAAAGATTTAAAAATCTAAGGAAATCTGGATAAAGTATGCACTTTAGTTAATAATAATGAATCAATATTGGCTCATTAATTATAAGAAATATACCGTACTGATGTAAGATGATGGTATGGAAAGCTAGGTTTGGGGATTGTGGGAACTCTGGGCTATCTTTATAGTTTTTCCGTAAATCTAAAACCATTCTGAAAAATAAAATTTAATTCAAAAAAATGAAAGCAGCTGTTTCAGTGTCAGAAGTGAAAACAGAATCCTACTTATGAAAACAGAAAGATAATTGGAGCCAGTTGTTTTAGAAAAAAGACTCGGGGTCAGTGGGGGGGAATCTTATTGAATTGTAAGGCATGAATTGAATATATTCACCAAAACTCTTGGCGTCATTGTTAGAAAATCTGGCTGACTCTTATGCAAACTGAATATTTGCATGGCTACTAAGTTTTTTAGCCCAAATGATTCACCTTCTTTACCCTTACATTTATGTACTTATATCAGAGTATTTATCATGTAGGTTGTGAAAATAAATACGCTGGAGTCCCCACATTACAGAAGGTGGCATGGTACTCACATTCAGAACAGAGAGCAGTTCTGTTCAAGAACCTCTTTACAACTGTATTAGTCCATTCTCACACTGCTATAAAGAACTACCCCAGACTGAGTGATAAAGGAAAGAGGTTTAATTGACACGATTTCACATGGCTGGGGAGGCCTCAGGAAACTTACAATCATGGCAGAAGGGTATCGCTTCTTGGCCTTTTGACTAAGATGAAGTGTAGAATCATGGCAGAAGTGAAAGCAAACATGTCCTTCTTCACATGGTGGCAGGAGAGAGAGTGAGTTCCGAGCAAGGAGGGCAAAGCCCCTTGTAAAAACCATCAGATCTCATGAGAACTCACTGACTCTCACAAGAACAGCATGGGGGTAACTGCCCCCATGATGCAACTACCTTTCACTGGGTCCCTCCCACGACATGTGGGGATTGTGGGAACTACAATTCAAGATGAGATTTGGTTGGGGATACAGCCAAACTGTATCAACAAGATTTGTTAAATTATATTTCAAATCTCCCTAGCGGAGAAAAGACAAATGCAGATTCTAGCATGGGAAAAGAAACAGAATGAGTCATGTCAAGGTTTTAATCCAAGTCATTCAGTGATTTAAAAAAAAAAAAAGAAAAAAAGGGATGTTTTTTCCCTTATTGTTTCAACTCTATACGAGAGGTAAACCTTTCCTTTCATTGTAAAATTATTTTCATTTTCATCCTTTAAGGCCAAGTCTTCTATGAAACTTCACCTTCTCCCTGATCCATACTATATTCCTTTGTTGAACTCCTCTAATTAATATGCATGGCATCACAACATCAATTCATGAATAAGAGACTGTTAGAATGTTTATTAATTGGCCAGGAGTGGTGGCTCACGCCATGTACAGTTTCTTCTTCTCTACTAAATCATTTTCATCTGCATATTACAAGCTCCAGACTCCCTTACCTTAACCAGAAAAAAAAAAAAAAGGAAAGAAAGGGAAAGCTTCCTTGACACTTTCTGAACTTTCCTAGTTCATTTCCTAGAAATGTTTCTCAAATTCTATCTCTCTGTCTTCGGGTCTTCACCTTTCAAGCATTCTATAAATTTTTAAAATTAAAATTTGAACTCAGGCCAGGCATGGTGGGCTCATGCCTGTAATGGCAGCACTTTGGAAGGCTGAGGCGATAGGACCACTTGCGCCTAGGAATTTGATACCAGCATGGCCAATGTGGCAAAACCCTGTCTCTACAAAAAGAAAAATTAGGCAGGTGTGGTGGCGCATGCCTATAGTCCCAGCTGCTTGGGAGGTTGAGGTGGGAGGATCACCTGAGCACTGGGAGGTAAAGGATGCAGTGAGCTGTGGTTATGCCACTGCACTCCAGTCTTGGTGACAGAGTGAGACCTTGTCTCGAATGAATAAGTGAATCAATAAATAAAAATTTGAACTTAAATGTAATAAGTGTATTTGATATGTATCTACCACTTGATATCTCTCTTTTTATAGAAACATTTAAAGCTCAACCTTTCATGTCTGAAAATATCTTTATACTATCCTTGTACTTAATTGATAGTTTGCTGGCTTTAGAATTTTAGGTTGGAAGTCATTTTTCCTTAGAATGTTGAAGGCATTGCTCAGTTATCTTCCGGCTTCCAGTATTGCTCCTGGGAAGTTTGCAGCCACTTTGATTCCTAATCTTTTGGATGTTGATCTGTTCCCACCCTCTTCCCTGAAAGCGTTTGGAATTTTCTCTTTGGCTTGCTTTTCTGAAATTTATGATGGTAAATCTTAGTGAGAATCTATTTTCATTTGTTTTGCTTGACTCTCTGGAGCCCTTTCAGTCTGGGTAACAAGCCCTTCAATTCTGAGATATTTTCTTGAATTCCTTCATTGTTGATTTCCAATCCATATTTTTCTGTGCTCTCTTTCTAGAACTATTATTTGGATGTTGACCTTCTGAGTTGATCAGCAGATTTAAATTTTTTTCTTTTCTGTTTTTCATTTCTGAGTTTTTTTCTGTATTTTTAGGAAGATTTCCTTGACTTCCAACCTTCCTAATGAGTTTTTTTTTCCTGTGATACTATTTTCTCTCTTTAAAAATCTTTCTGGCTTAAAGTGTGCAATCCAGTGGTTTTTAGTACATCCACAGGGTTGTGCAACTACCACACATCACTATCAATTTTAGAACATTTTCATTACCCAGAAATAAAGCTCTGTACCCATTGATAGTCACACCCCTATTTCTCCACACCTCAGCCTTAGGTCACCACTAATCTGCTTTCTGCCTCTACAGAGTTGCTTATTCTGAACACTTCATTTAAATGGAGTCATATAATATATGGTCTCCTGTCACTGGCTTTTTTTACTTAGGAAAATGTTTTCAAGGTCCATCCATGTTGTAGCACGTATCAGTACTTCATTCCATTTTATTGCTGACTGACATTCCATCGTGTCTATACTACATTTTGTTTATTCATCAGTTGGTGGACATTTGGGTTGTTTCCAATTTTTGACCATATGAATAATGCTGCCATGAACATTTGTGTACAAATTGTGTGACCATTTTTTTTTTTTTTGAGACAGAGTCTTGCCCTGTTGCCCAGGCTGGAGTGCAGTGGTGCGATCTCAGCTCACTGCAACTTCCACCTCCCAGGTTCAAGCTATTCTCCTGCCTCAGCCTCCTGAGCAGCTGGGATTACAAGGTACATGCCACCACCACACGTGGCTAATTTTTGTATTTTTAGAGAGACAGGGTTTCACCATGTTGGTCAGGCTGGTCTCAAACTCCTGACCTCGTGATCTGCCCGCCTCGGCCTCCCAAAGTGCTGGGATTACAGGTGTGAGCCACCACGCCTGGCCGTGGACACATGTGTTTTAAACTCCTTTGGGCATACCTAAGGAGTGAAATTGCTGGCTGCTATGATAACTCTGTTTAATGTTTTGAGGAACTGCCAAACTTTTTCCAAGTGTACCCATTTTACATTTCTACCAGCAGTTTGTGAGGGTTCTGATTTCTCCACATCCTCATCAACATTTGTTATTGTCCATCTTTTTAATTATATTTATCCTACTGGGTGTGATTTGGTACCTCGGTTTTATTTATTTGTTTTGTTTTGGGTTTTTTTGTTTTGTTTTGTTTTGTTTTTGAGACAGAGTCTTTTTCTGTCTCCCAGGATGGAGTGTAGTGGCGTGATCATAGCTCAGTGCAGCCTCAGTCTCCCAGGCTCAATCAATCCTCCCACCTCAGCCTCCTGAGTAGCTGGGACCACAGGTACGCACCACCACGCCTAGCTAATTTTTAGTAGAGATGAGGTCTCTCAATGTTGCCCAGGTTGGTCTCGAATTCCTCAAGCTCAAGCAATCTTCCCGCCTTGGCCTCCCAAAGTGCTGAGATGATGGGCATAAGCTGCTATGCCTGCCTGGTACCCCAGTTTTGATATGCATTTTCCTGATGGTTAATGACGTTGAGTATCATGTAGTCACCGCTGCCAGCCCGTGCACTGTGTCCCCCCACTGTGCTGCCACCCTGCTCCTCCGCCTGTCACAATGGAAGAAGAGATTGCCACTCTGGTCATTGACAATGTCTCTGGCATGTGCAAAGCTGGATTTGCTGGGGACGACGCCCCCCGAGCTGTGTTCCCCTCCATCCTCAGGCACCCCTGGCACCAGGGCATGATGGTGGGCATGGGCCAGAAGGACTCCTATGTGGGTGATGAGGCCCAAAGCAAGCATGGCATCCTGACCCTGAAGATTGGGACTCTGACCCCATCAAGCATGGCATCATCATCAACTGGGATGATATGAAGATTTGGCACCACACCTTCTACAGTGAGCTGCGTGTGGCCCCGGAGGAGCACCTGGTGCTGCTGACAGAGGCCCTTGTGAACCCCAAGGCCAACAGAGAGAAGATGACCCAGATCATGTTTGAGACCTTCAACACCCTGTCCATGTACGTGGCCATCCAGGCCGTGCTATCTCTCTATGCCTCTGGACGCACCACTGGCATTGTTTTGGACCCTGGAGATGGGGTCATCCACACGGTGCCCATCTGCAAGGGCTATACCCTCCCCCACATCATCCTATGTCTGGACCTGGCTGGTGGGGACCTGACTGACTACCTCATGAAGATCCTCACTGAGCGCGGCTACAGCTTCACCACCATGGCTGAGTGGGAGATCGTGGGTGACATCAAGGAGAAGCTGTGCTATGTCACCCTGGACTTCGAACAGGAGATGGCCACTGCTGCATCCTCCTCCTCCCTGGAGAAGAGCTAGGAGCTGTACAATGGCCTGGTCATCATCATCAGCAACGAGTGGTCCTGGTGTCTGGAGGCACTGTTACAGCCTTCGTTCCTAGGCATGGAATCTTGCAGCATGCATGAGACCACCTTCAACTCCATCATGAAGTGTGATGTGGACATCTGCAAATACCTACATGTCAACAAGGTGCTGTTCGGTGCCACCACCATGTACCCAGGCATCGCCAACAGGATGCAGAAGGTGATCACCGCCCTGGCACCTGGCACCATGAAGATCAAGATCATTGCGCCCCCAGAGCGCAAGTACTCTGTGTGCATCCGTGGCTCCATCCTGGCCTCACTGTCCGCCTTCCAGCAGATGTGGATTAGCAAGCAGGAGTACAATGAGTTGGTCCCTCCATCGTCCACTGCATATGCTTCTAAATGGACTGCAAACAGATGCATAGCATTTGCTGCATGGCTTAATTCAGAAGCATAAATTTGCCCCTGCCAAATGCATACACTTCATGCTAGCCTCATGAAACTGGAATAAGCCTTCAAAAAGAAATTGTCCTTGAAGCTTGTATCTGATATCAGCAGTTGATTGTAGAACTTGTTGCTGATTTTGACCTTATGTTCAAGTTAACTGTTCCCCCTTGGTATCTGTAGAATACCTATCCATATCTTTGATTTCACCCCTTAGTACATGTGGCTTGGTCACTTTGTGGCTAATGTAAGAACGTGCTTGTGGAAGACAAGTCTGTGGCTTGGTGAGTCTACATGGCCAGCAGTCTCCGATCTGTGCAGGGTATTAATGTGTCAGGGCTGAGTGTTCTGGGATTTCTCTAGAGGCTGGCAAGGGCTCCTGAACCAGTGGTTTCTGTCCCGCCAGTCTGTCAGGGTTGGAAAAGTCCAAGCCACAGGACCCAGTTTCCTTTCTTAGCTGATGTTTTCCTGCCAGAACACCGTGGGCTGTTAACTTGCCTTGAGTTGGAAGCAGTTTGTATTTTCACCTGTAAATGTATTAATCCTTTTAATTTATGTAAGGTTTTTTTGTATACAATTCTCAATTCTTGAAAGAGATGACAACAAATTTTGGTTTTCTACTGTTACATGAGAATATTAGGCCCCAGCAACTTGTCATTGTGTAAGGAAAAATAAAAGTGCTGCCGTAAAAAAAAAAAAAAATCTTTTTATGTGATTTTGGCTATTTGTATATGTTCTTTGCAGAAATATCTATTCAAATCTTTTGACTATTTTAGAATTGGGTTGTCTTTTTATTATTGAAATATATAAAAGAGTACTTTATATATTCTGGATACCAAACCCTTATCAGATATATGATTAGCAAATATTTTCTCCTGTTCTATGAGCTGAATTTTTACTCTATTGATAGTATCTTTTGAAACACAAGAAATTTTGTTAAAGTCCAAATGTGTTTATTTTTTCCTTTGTTGGTTGTGGTTTTGAGGTCATATTTGTTATCTAGTCTGAGGTCACAAAAATTTATGGCTATATTTTCTTTTAATACTTTTATAGATTTAGCTCTTATATTTAGGCCCTTCATCCATTTTGAGTTAATTTCTGTATGTAGTATGAAATAGTGGTCTAAATTCATTATTTTGGATATGGATATATGGTTGTCCCAGCACCATTTGTTGAAAATATTCTTTTTTCTCCATTGGCTTGTCTTGGTACCCTCACCAAAAGTCAATTGACCATAAATGTGAAGGTTTATTTCTGGGTTTCTCCTATTTATGTTTTTAGCTTCCAAGGGCTCTTTGTTTTTCTTCAATTGCTTCCTTATTCGTCCTGTTTTTCTATCATGGGTCATTGTCTTTGTGAAGATATTAATAATGGCTTTTAAAGCTTTCATTTCTCTGCATAGTCTCTATTTCTCCAGGTTACCTTTTTCCCTGTTCATGATTTTGATCTCTGTGTTTTGTTCCATAGTGTCTATTAAAATAATATGTATTATTCTCAATTGTCTGTTCAAGTTTAAAGACAGAGCACTAAAGCCTAATTGAAAGCTCTGTGTGTTTAAGTAGAGTTTACCAGCTGTGGACCTCACTGTCAGATGATCTAGTAGACCTTATCAATATGACAATATCTAAATTGTTTTTCTTAAGCAACTTAGAAAGCTCTCTATTACTCTTCATGGGGTATAATCATGGCTTCCAGCATTCTGCAGTTTCAGTGTGGAGTGGACTGGGTTTTTTCAACTGTTAGAAAGTAAGTTTTCCCTTAGTTCTACATGTTTTCAGTAAAGCATCTGCATCTTCAAAAGTGTCTAGTGGTCCCTAGGCCAAAAACCCTGCTTTTTAACTTCTTCAGAGAATAAATTCTGGTTTCCTGTATGGATTAAGGGGCACCAAGGTGATGAGTCACCCAGTGAAGTAGAACAGTGGATATGACATAGAGGCCTAAGTGCTTCTTAAAAATCAGCTCACCTGTATGTATAACACCACTTCCAGAGACTTTTGGAGGTTCCATGGTATAAACCAGGCTGCTTTTTCCCACTACTGGCTTAGGACTCAGCTTTCTCAAATCTGCAGTCAGTTACCATTCCCTCCATTCTCCAATATCCATAATTTTGTTGCTGCAATTTCTTCTTCCATTCTCTTCATCCTTGTGGATTTATAACTAAAAAGAAAACCAAAAATAAAGCAACCCTTTACATTTATTGTAGCTGGATTTCTGGAGGTAAAAAGTTAACTATTTGTGTTCATTCTGTCATCTTTAACCAAAAGACAGAATATTAAACAATATTTTTTGCTATTGGTTTGTGATTTATGTTATATGTGCATTGGAGCCAAGGATAAAATCTTTGAAATTTGTTGAGGCTTGCTTTGTAAGCCTTGGATTGATTGATTTTTATAAATGTTTCATATGTGCTTAAGAAGAATGTACTGTATAATTGTTGGTATCTAAATCATTTGTTGGATCATACTTGCTAATTATTATATAAATATTCACATACTTGGTAATTTTCTTATTCTTAATCTATCAATTATCTAGAGAAGTTTGTTAAAATCTACCACTTCAATTGTAGACTTGTCAGTTTCTCCTTGTAAATCTGTCAACTTTTGCTTATATCATATATTTAGAAGCTATGAATTAGGGCCATACATGTTATAGAGTAGTTCTATCTTCTTGCTAGATTACTCCTATTAATCATATATAATAGGCCTCTTTATTTCTCTATCAATGCTTTTTGCCATTAGTTCTATCTATCATATAGTTTTATTTAATTTTAGCCTGGTGTATCTTTTTCTATCCCTTTACTTTTAGCCTTTCTATGTTTATCTATTTTACGTGTATCTCTTGCAAAATAGCCTATAAATGAATTTTTAGAATCAATCTGACAATATTTGTCTTAACTTGAAATTTTACATTTATTATAATTACTGATATGTTAGATTTATTTCTGCTGTTTGTATAATGCTTACTACTGTGTTTTAACTATTTATCATTTTCTTTTTCTTTCCTGCCTTCTACCAGATTACAAGCCCTCCCACTCTTTTTTCAGTCCATTAATTTGGAAGTTATATATTCTGTTTGTATTACGTTAGTGAATACTCTTAAAATTTTAAAGTTGCAGTTGACTTAAAGTCCAAATTCAGTAAAATTCTTTATTCTTCTCCAGAACAACTCCACAGTCTTGTTCTGATTATATGTTATTATTGTCCAGTTTTTATACTTGTTTTTATATTCAAATTTGTTCTTTTTTGTTGTTCTGTGGCTTGGATTTATACAGGAGTCTTAATTCTGCCTTATGCAGACTCTTCCTCCTCCCTATATTTAGTTGATTGGACCAGGGGTAGACACTGGATCTAAGTCAGGCTAACCCCTGGAAACCTGAAACTGGGCCCAAGAGACACTAGTTAGACCTAGCGAAAAGCCAGAGATGAGAGAGAGGGAAAATTTGATTCCTGATGACTTTGCAGTTTCTGATTCTTTCTCAAGAGATGCAGCTTTGGAGTTCTCTGAGATATTCCTGTATCCTTGCAATAAATTCTCCTTTTTTGCTAAAGTAATTTATAGTGGGTTTCTTTCTTGTTATCAAAGGAACTTGAAAATGCCATTCTCCTTCCCAGAATTACTAATTTTAAATTAATTATATCATTGCACATCTGTTTAGTACTTCATAGCTTACTGAATATGTACCGTCATTAATTATTCTCATCACAACAATGTGAATATTAATGGTTTTTCAACTAGATAAATGAGGAAACTGAGGCTCAGACTCATAAAATGATTGGCCCATGTTCTTAAAGATGTGGTTGATCAGCTTATATGAAAACCCAGGTGTTATTTTTAGCCCGGTGGCTTCCTGTGCATCATTGCATTCTAAGTTAGCCTAAGGTTGTCACAAAGGTGGTTTTCATAACATAGAGCTTCATCTTCTCCAAAGAAATAGAATTGAGATTATAGGGAAAATCTTTTATATTAAATGCTTAGATAATATAATGAGAAATCTGTTATTCTATTTGGAGGAAAATTACTTTGGGTACAATTTATATGATATCAGTTGCTATGATATATGGTTTTTAATAATCAACACAGGTGGAGGCTTATAATAAAAGGGTGCCTTGCTATTATAGCAGAAGAATGAAATAACCTGCAGTCCACATTTATCTGTGAATGCTACTCAATTTTCTTTCTCCTTAGCCTTGCAGCTTTCTTTAAATTAGAAAATTAAATCTTCAGGGTCATTATTTTAAAAGATATTCTATTCTTCCTCTTTCCTGATAACAAATTCCTTATATATTAAGAATTACTGGAGCAATATTTTATCCTGTATGTGGCCAGTGATTTAAAGGATGCTTTCCATTTCTGAAATTGCATTAGGAGTACATAAATGCTTTTTAAAAAATATTTATTCAGTAAAGCAAGTATGATACCTATTTGCAACACTAGGCCACATGTGAGATTTTTAAAACAATGAGTTAGTCACTGTCTTTAAAGAGCATATAGCTGATAATATTACCAGCCAATATTCTTTGAATACTTACTATTTGCCAGTCACTGTTGTAAATATTTTAGATCATATGTTAATTCACTTAATCTTCACAACAATCCTGTGAGGTATATACTATTATTATCACCATTTTATAGATAAGAATATTGAGGTACCTTTACAGAGAAGGTAGAGTAATAAGCTCAAGTCACATAGCTAGTAAGTTGTAAAGCCAGGACTAGAATATATGCCTGACTCGCGGCAAAGTTCATGCTTTTTCTTCTTATGCCATGCTGCCTTTACAGCTGAGGAAAACAGTCTAGTGGGGAGGCTAATGAAATAAACCAGTGTGAGGCGATAAGTTCCTGGAGTAAGGGCAGTCATATCACCACATTTCTTGAATTTTCTCAGTAGTGATTTCGGATACTCTGCTTGTCTCTATGAGCCATGAAAATGTTAGGCAAAATCTTGTGTTTTAGTACATAGAGTAATTGCTTTTTGAACCTAGAAGTAATTATATTTCTTTTCTCAGACTGTGTGTACAAATTTTTGATTACACTAACATGATCACCATGGAAAGTGAGAATGGAGAAAAAAAAGATTTCAAGGGAATCATACTAATAATACATATTCACCTTTTTATCAGTCATTACTAGGTAACATGATCACCGTGGGAAGTGAGAATGGAGAAAAAAATGATTTCAAGGGAATCATACTAATAATACATACCTTTTTATCAGTCATTACTAGGTGTTAGACACTATGCTAAGTGTTTTACCTGTTTTAATTTAACCTCACAACAATTCTGTTAGGTAAGTGTTATTACTCACCAAAGCTAAGAAAGGTTAAGTAAGTTGTCCAATCTCACATGGCTCATTAGTGATAGAACTGTGTTTTGAACACAGGTCTGTCCCATTACAGAGCTATTTGAAACTGCTTCTGGAAACAAATTTGATGTCACTCGAATAGCCCATGTTGCTAGGATTACAACATGTCAAATGCCTCTGTAGTGACAGATGGTTTGGATAACAAGATAGATTAAAGTTAACTTTGACCTGAGAAATTGTGTGGTTTTAGATGGAAGAAGAGGTGTTGAAGGAAGACTGAGCCAGCTGCTGACCAATAGGATAGAATTTGAGAGGGAGAAGTGTTGGAAGTGGAGTTACAGTTTCCTCCCTGATTTTTTCCTTATTAACTTTACTACTCAGTGCAAGTTTGCAACAGGGCAGTCTT